TCATCACAAAAAGAGAGCGATCAAATGACCGCATATTGGAGATATGAAACATAATGAATAAAAGATATCGGAAAATTTATGTGTCTTATATTATAGAAAAAGTCATTGAGTCAGAATGAACGAATATATAGAATTAGGGCATATGAGTGAAGTAAATGAATCAAATGAACCGAAAACATGTTTTTATTTACCAGATCATGGTGATTTAAAGCTAAGCAGTTCAACAACCAAATTACGCGTTGTCTTTGACGAATCGTGCAAATCTGATAACGGCGTCTCATTGAATGAACTACTACTATACAAAACGACATATTCTCTATATTATTAAAATTTAGAAAACACACATTTGTTCTTGCTGCCTATACAGAGAAGATGTACCGACAAGTTTTGGTTCATGAAAATAATAGGAAAATGTAGCGATTATTGTGGCGGAATAACTCACGAAAAAATAAAAACTTATGAACTAAATACGGTCACATACGGAACTGCATCTGCACTGTTTTTAGCAATCAGATGTTTAGAATAATTAGCCAAAGAAAATGTAATTCAATATCCAGAAGAATGCGATATTATTCGAAATGATTTTTACATAGACGACTTATTGACCGGAGCGGACACAACATCTCAATTACTTCCAATTAAAACAAATTTAACAAAAATATTAAAACAAGCGGAATTTAACCTATGTAAATATAACTCTAATTATAATGACCTTTTAGATACTAATAATCCTCTCTTAAATAATTGCAAAACTTTTTTAGTGATAAGAAATTGGCATCAAGGGAAGAGTGTGAAAATCAATTGCTGGAGTTTTTCGCTAATAAGGACCAAGACTTTTATGAGAGAGGCATAATGAAGCTACCATTAAAATGGCAACAAATTATAGAACAAAATGGTGCATATTTGACCTAAATCGGGCAATGCAAAACATGTTAAATAAAGTCTTGAAGTTCACGTAAAAATAATGGATTTCTTTTTCCACAACCCTATATAAACTATTTTCCATAAGACTGGTAATAATAAAACTGTGCGTGTTACCAATAGACAATAATAGAAAAGGTGATGAACAATATTCAACTATTCTTTCATAAACTCTTAAAAAACAATTTTGTGAGTGTAAACCAAAAGACAATATAATCAATAGTGAATTCATTAACTATCACAAGACTTTAATCAATACTAGAATTTAAGTGATAATAAAATTAATCATTCTTATACATTTTTGTTGTAACTTTACCATAACTACATGAAGCAATGTTGAAAAATCATGTAAATTAATTTCCCATTATTTTTTCAAACGTGATGGCATGTTCGACCCTCACAAACTTTATGAATCCATCTTCCTCTGCATGACATAATAAAATAATTTCCTACCCTACTCTAGGTACTAAGATAGTTTTTAAAAATTCATTCTCATTCTGTACGCAAAACTTGAACCGTGAACATCAAATAAATAAATACTATTAATAATTAAACCAACTTATTTTTAAAGGTCTGATCTAGCCATTCTAATAATAAATTATATCTGGTCCTTCGAAGCAATAAAGTGTCTGTGTGTAGTGATTCTCTAATTGACTTTGTTAATGAACATGCGCCGGGTGCTTACAGTATTTAAAAGAATTTTTACAAAGTTTAAAAAAGATTAAATTTAAAATATATTATAGATTAAAAAAATAAAATGAACAAGTAAAAAGTTGTTACACACTATACCAGGAAAAATAATAACAAAATTTTAACTGACATAATTGAAAATAAAACAAACAAGGTAAACATTTTTTGTTGATTAAGTTAACTTAATCCTTTTTAAACTTTGTAAAAATTCTTTTAGATACTGTAAAACATAAAAAATTGCTGAATGATGACATACAACAGTGTCAAAACGTATAAATAAATATTTTATTATTTATTGTTTTATTTCCACGATTGGCTGAAAAATTCTGGCTGACATATCCTTGATTGTTGATTCAAGAATATGTCTCAACGTCGAACAAGAAAATCTAAATTTTATATATATATATATATATATATATATATATATATATATATATATATATATATATATATATATATATATATACTAGCTGACCCGGCAAACGTTGTTTTGCTAAATAAGGTATACTCTAAACTATTTCTAGAGAATCAAAATTATTAATACTTTAAGTGCATAAGGATGTGTTGTTTGAATGTTGTATATAATCAGGTATTATAAAACAATAAACCCCATTAGTTTGTCTATATTTTGACAATACAATCAAACTGCAAGTTTTATACACTTTCTATAGAAAACATCGTATAATCCAATCCGAGTCTTTTTTGGTCTTTCGGCTTATTAATTACGTTTCAAGTTTTTCAGATTTTTTTTGGATTTTGGATTTTCTGTATAATTGTAAATAATACTACTGAGCTTATACAAAATTTTCAAATTTTTGCGAGAATAGATAAAAAATGAATTAAGTATTTCTTCTTTGACCTGCTTTTTGAAAAGTTTCAAGTTACATTCGATGAATTAAAGTAAATTTAATAAAAAGTATGTATGTAGAGCAGGGCGAAACACAAAGGTCCAATTTGACTTTGAGCAAATATAAACTATATTGTGAAAACCATAACAATTATATCACAACAAATAAGACATATCAAGCGAACAATTATCTGACTACGTTCAGTAAACTGACTTCTACTTCATCATTGTAGAAATGTGCTTTTTTGATGTCTTCCAAAAATTTGTTATCTAGACCTTTTTATCCTATATGCGGGGTAACTTGTAACGGGCAGGTGCAAAAGGTTTAAAGCCTTATTATAATTTTAAAGGTATTTTACAAAATAATTACATTTTTAACTAATGCTAAAACTACCAACGGAAGAAAATACTTTTATTATGGATTTTCAAAGATTACCGTTTATCTCCCCCATTTCAAAGATTATCGTTTTCAAATCAAGGTTGTAGCTGGCTATACATCTTTTTTCCTCTACTTTCAAATATTGTTGTTAAACAATGCTTAACTTTACTGATTTTTGGCACATCGGTGGTGGACCTTTTTAATCCCGGACCTTCATATATTAATATCTATTCTGAGATAAATTCTAGGAAATTATAATTGAAAAAATGTTATTCGACAAAATGTCCTTTTGATCGATACCAAATTTAGGTTCTGAATTTAAATAAGATAAATAAAAAATAATATAACCTAGAAAATGTTTTATAAATACCAATGAGTATATAATTATACAAATGAGATCTTTCAGAGCACCGTGTTTAAGAAAAATATGCCAAAAAGTGCATTTTCATATTAACATAACAAAAAAAATTATATTTTGAGTCTCTAGTAATACTTGCAGCCCGTTACTAACGTTTTTGTATATAAATATAAAACTACTTACTACTTACTACAAATTTATCATAAATAAATAATATTCGCGTAAAACATCCTATTAAACGTAATTGAACATCATCTGTCAAAGGCGTTTGACATTTCACGAAATTGCTACCGTCCATTGTTTTATTTAAATTACGCTTCTACAAAAAATTTCAAATTAAAAATGTGAAGTTTCTACGCGGATTTGAAATAATTTCTCACCTTTTGGACTTTCTCTGGATTGGCACGAATTTTTCAAGACTAAGACTGGCAAAATCGATTCAGCCGTTTTCGAGTTTTATTCGGACATTTGAAAGAGAGCTCCATTTTTATATATAAGATATATATAATATATTAGTGATGTGCCAAATCTAATCAAGTGATTTGACCAATATTAAATTAATTAAAATTTATTTCCTAACTGCATTGTGCTCATATCTAAAATTACAGAAAGAAAAGCACAAAATTCTTCTTGGTACGTCATACCGCGTGTGTGGCGACATTCGATTATTTCATAATATTGTAACGACAATAGGCATTGTCGCTAAAGGATTACACAACCCTCAGTGCAAAAAGTATCCTCCTTTACCCACCTCTACTAGGGTTCCTGCAATATAAGATCCAACTAGGGTTAAAAATTGACATTAACAAATGTAACATCTTCCGAGGAGGTCGGTCGGCTCCATGCGCGAGCCCATGGGCCCGCTTGGTGTATGTGTGTTGTGCCAGGGGAGAAAAACCGTTTCAGCAAAGGTCAGGCTTTTATTTATTAGCTATTCCCTCCGTCACTCCGTCAGTTTGTAAAATAGCTCATAATTAAAGATGATTTAGTACATTAGAGTTTAGGCACGGGACATGACTATACGTAGGTAAAGATATGCCCTCACTCCTGTAATCCTCAGGCATATTAAATAAGATAGTAAGTACATTCTGTTTAATTCGTGTAGTTAGCTATATCAGTTTCCACTGGTAATTACAGGGTATTCATAGAAGTTGGGTTGAGGAGTTGAAGTAAACCCTTTCGTAATGAGGAGTGCAATGCTATAATATAATAAGTGACAGTCATTGCAATACCCCAGAAAGGAGCTTAAACTTTTTACTCGTCACAATATTCACAAGATCGCAAGTTTTAATTAAAATTTAAATTTAATTAAAAAAAAAAAACTAAAATTATTTGAAAACTGAAAAAAATTATATTTTGAAAATTTTGAAATATTTGTTAAAATTTGACTTTTTTTGATTTTTTTTTATATTTTGAGATTTTTTGAAACTTTTTTCTAAATCAATCGCCTGCATTAGCCGCGTAGAGACGAAATTACGTGTTCACAAAATCGTCGACGAAAATGTGTATCCGCACACACACACATACAACAATTTTTTCTAAATAAGCTATGCTAAAATGTTCAAAGGGCTTTGAAACGTAATATGTATTATGAAAACATTTTCAATTTCGATTTTTTTTTGCGATTACTCTAACATACCCTGAAAATTTAAAAAAAAAGTAGAAAACAGCAGGTTCTAGTTCAGAAGTTTAAAGAGAACGAAAGAACTCTAATAAACAAAGATTTAAATATTGACTGATTACTTAGCTTTATATAACCATATCAAAAATAGCCAAAATCTATTGCCAATGTTATATCAACTTACCAATAAATTTTCTGGTTTTATATCTCTATGTACAATTTGCAATGAATGTAGATAAGCCATGGCAGAACCTAAATGACGCATCATAACACGTGATTGCTTCTCGGAAAATTTAGTTGCTTGCGCAATAGCATCAAATAAATCTCCACCTATAATAATTAGAAACTAATAGCATTTTTTTTTAAATAAAAGGGACTAATATTAAGATAAAAACCTCGCACTAGTTCTAAAATTAAAAACATCTTGTCAGGAGTGTCTTGTTCAGCAATTAATGAAACAGTGTTCGGATGATTTAAACGCCGCATTATTCTAATTTCAGCATCGATATAATGTTCTTTGCCTTGACACATTGCTTTATCAATAACCTTGGGAAAAATAATCACTCATTATTAATTCACAAAATGGAAAAATAAATAAAGTAGAAATTAGGAATCTAATGTGATTAGCATAAATAATATTAAATACAATAATATGTCTATGTTTAAGGTTTTATAAATAGGTGCACAAATAAAAATTAATGTGGCAATTCTATCATAACAGAGCTGATAACATAGCGTTGTCATGACAACACTATGTTATGAGCTCTGTTACTGCAGAATTGCCCCATATATATCTCACTAAAAACTTATAGTGATATAATAAATTTAATCATGAGATTAATATATTGCAAAATATTTTGTTTTCATGCGAACAAAAACATATTCTTTATTAATAACTTGATTCTATATTATTTAATGAATGCCCACATGTGCTTTGATAAATAACTTGATATTAACACTTTGCGCTTGACTGCCCCTTGAAGAGACAAAATTCAGTCACGTATCACTCACCCACATTATATTTATTAACAACATAGTTATACCTTTAATGCAAACTCTTCTTGAGTGTTCTTGTTTTTGCAATTCCATACAACAGCAAAATTTCCATCACCAATCATATTTCCAACCGAGTAAATAACAGCCAAAGCGGGAGGTAAAATTCCTATATTGTCCTTCTAAAAAATAACTATTCATAATATTTGCATTAAATCATAAAATTTATGATAAACTTTATGATTTCTTACACTGTTTGTATCATTGTCCTTAGTATTATCATTTGGACCAATATAGCTTTCATTATGACTTTTCACTGGCATTTTTGGTTTGATTCCATTTCTGAAAATATAAATCCTGCATAAATAAAAAAATCAATATATTAAAAAATTAAATACGACCTGGTTGCCCTTTGCGGCTTTCTTATTCCTTGAACAGCTTTACTTTCATCTGGTTCCAGATCAAAATCTCCATCGTTTACTCTTTCCAAACCATAGCATATAAAAACTTCATCTATATCAAAGAAATCTTTTAATGTTTGCACCTATAACAAAACATAAAAATGTTTTCTTATACAAATTTGTTTTTAATGAAATTTTTATTTTGTACAAGTGAATTATTAGCTCAGTCAAAATAGGCATTCAACCACGGAATAATTGGCATAGAGCTGAAAGTTGGTACTGATGTTAAATAAGCCATTGCAAATGAAATGTCAAAAGTCCCCATCAAACTGACCTCTGTCAAATTTTTTATTCAAGGTCAAAGGTACAAAATTCTTCTTTTCAAATTAAAAATATAACTTTTTGAACTTTTTAAGCGGCAATATAAGATTATAAGTACGATTTTGTAGAGAATTTTATAATAACAAAAGTGTCTAAATTTTTATAGTCTCATTTTCCACGGAAATCATAAAAACAATAAAAAAATCAGAAAATTGTCAGTTTTGTTTATTATAAAATTCTTCTACATAATCCTTATATTTTTTTTCGATCACGGTTCATAAGATATTTCCGTTTGAAAAATTGAAAACATTATATTATTCATAATGTGCACTCTTTGTACGTCAATAAACGTGCAATATAAATAAAAAATAAGAATTCACTGGTTTATAGTATAAATTCAATAAGTCTTTTAAAACTAATGTAAATCACCCCTGAATTACTTTCCTTCTTGAGATACACATGCCAACTATGTCATTTTTCTAGTGTAGAGGGAGAGGGTCATATCACTGCTTGTTTAGGGATTAAACAAATAATTAAGTATGTGTATGTAAATTGAAGGCGTCTTGTCGTCTAGCTCATTGTGACGTTAGGTTTTGGTGTACTGAATAGGTAGGCCGGTGAAAGACCGGTGGTCAGAGCTATTTATTGTGTCCGCAGTGACTTGAAGTATTGGCAAACTATATAGGTATGCCGACGGAAACCCGGAGATCAGGGTTAGTAATTGTGTTAGCCCGCGGTAACCCGAGCACTGGGCATACTTAGTCACCAGGACGAATCCCAGCGGTTTTGGATAAAAAAGTGCTAATAATTACCATATGTTTTCGGAGCCGCAATTACCCATCTATTTGAAATTTGGTTGGATATGAATATATTAAAAATGGTTTACAAAAATATAAGAATATTATTACATACGAGAAGTTCCAGCAATTTGCCTTAAGGCACGATGCCTAGCACTACTAGTTTTAATAATACTATTTATATATTTTCATTTTTCAACACTTCAAATTCAACGTTTGTTCAGTGTTCAGAAGATTGGTAAGTTTCCTTAATGCGATGGGGTTTTGCCGGTATGCTATTGCCTTCTGCCGTTATCATTTTCGATAACAATGTCTTCCGAATGTCTTTCTAAACAAGCTGAGACTTTTCTTGTAATCAGAGCACTTTTTGTTATTGTCGTCATTCATTTTAAAAGTATTCTAGGTTTTCGTTTCTCTCCAATGTGTTTTATCGCCTGAAGCATTACATTGTATAAAAAATTATATCTAATGCAAGGGCGAGCAACCTTTTTAGCCCACGGGCCAATTTACATTTTCAAATTTTTTGGCGGGCCGCACGTTATTTATATATATATATACCAGCTGACCCGGCAAACGTTTAGCCACAGGAAATATTTTTAGAAAATCATTAGTATTAGAAATTACTTCTTCAAATATTTATATATTCAGAATACCAATTCTGAATGTATAAATATTATTACATTGATAATTTACCCACAGCAACGCTAAAATACTAACATTCATATTGTAATTATGTTGTATTCTGAAAAAAAAATCCAGTCCTCTCAAAAACAGTTTTATCTCCTGATTTTAAAATTAAATTTCTAATTTTTTTGCTGAAATAGCACCTTTTGTGAGACATTCAAAAACTATGTACTTCTTATGTACATCGGGAAATATTTGTACAATAGGATTAGCTTGCAAATCAGTTAGTTTTATCGGAGGTAACCATTTCGTTGCCATTTTTAAAATGTTGCAGCGGATGATGTGGATAAGTTTAAGCTTTTTTATAAGCTCAGAAAAATCTTGATCGAATTTCAATTAAAAACGTTCACAAAAAAGGCGATAATAGTTAGTTGATCAATTACCGAGCTATACAAAAAATGTTCATTATAAAATAATAAAAATTTGGAGTTGTATGTAGTTTTCCATTTCGCATAAAAAATTAAAATAAAGAACAAAATTTTAAAAAAATTGTTACGGCCATACAAGTCATGATGAAAATAAATTGTTTTTTTTTTTAATAAAATTGAAGCTTTTTCATAAACTCTGATAAAAGTCTGATCTAAAATTAAGTCAAAAGATTTATTGACTGAGTGCGGGAATAATGTATTTGCAACAAAATTACAAAATTGCCACAAGAAGAGAACAAAAATATAAAATTGAACAAAGTATATATTTTATATAATAAGTGTTTATAAATATTAATATAAAATGAGAACAAATAATATTTAAAAGAAAAACAATTTTACTTGATACCTTTAATAAAAAAAATGGCACTGCATTTTTTACATAAGTTGGTCAATATCAGCCGTTTTATTAGATTTTGTTCTCTATTTTAATTTTTTTAATGCGGAACGTAGCAACGCGTATGCAGCTTTGACATGTTTTACTCAGTTTTGATAGGTGCTATTTTTCTATGAATTTTTTGGTTGAAATTAACACAGGTCCACAAAAAAGAGTTGTCTGAATTGGGTGTGTGACATATATATGTCTTCCAATGTACCTTTTACCGCTGAAGATAAATCTATAGTCAAAATTGGGGCACAAAAAATTGAAAAACATTTAAAAACTGGCACACTCTTTGTTCTAGATTTTTTTCTGAATGAATTAATTATTTTCCAGCGACTTTTCTTTTGTGGACTTGTGTAATTGTTCGCGCACATATGTACTTCCAAAAAAGAATTTGAATCGTAATTTGATTTACCTTTTTTTCAACAGCGAAAATTTCTCAGGGCTGACATAAGATTTATAAAAAAAAATTCGATGTTCACTGAAAAAATGAATTTTTTAAATCTGTATTATTTTGCATGTTAAATGGCGAAGAAAACATTTACATGAAAACAGCTGTCTTGTTAGCTTTGAACATTTAGAATCACAATTAAAATTTGTTCATATTTTCTTTTTTTCAATATGAAAAGTGAAACACAAGATTCTGCAAAAGATATTCTGTATTACCGAAATGACGAAAGAACTATAATTATTATTTCATATCCAAAAACAATTGTAATTCGCTATTTGAGTCGTCTACTCCTTAAAGCATTGCATCACTATGGAGATAACGTACTTTATTGAAAATCGACATGTTCACGAACTAAATTGCCAGAAAGTCTTTAAATTTACGATAATTTAACCCTTGCGACTTTATAAGATTTACTTATTTAAATATTTTAAATTTAGAAATGCGTTGTTGCTATGTTCTCGGACACGTTCTCATTTTTTTTGCAATATTGAAGCTTGTTAAACAATATGTAAATAAATTAATATATATTTTATCAGGAAATTCTATTTCCTAGAACAACAGTTTTTACCAGAATTTGACTGACGAAAAAATTAGCTTTTACAGCCGTATTTGATAAAATATCTAGAAAAATAATCTGTTGTTGAGAAATGCTTGGCGGGCCGCAGAAAAACACTCGGCGGGCCGCGGGTTGCTCATCCTTGATCTAATGTTTCAAAATGCTCTTGCAAATGCACTAAAATATGAATTTGATTTCAACCCATTAATTCCATACAGCCAAAGGTGGCAATCGCGTAGCTTAACACAAGGATTAACGGCGGATGGAGCATATTTCAATGTTACGTTTTAACAATTTTTACTTGTTTTAATTTTTATAGCAAATTAATAGTTCATCAATAAAATTTGTATTCAATAAAATTTAAAAAATTGATCTAAAGTATTTGCATTTTCTAACTAGTTGGTATTGGTATTTAGCCTTGAGGCAAGTTACATGAACTTCCCGATATGTGTTAATAATCGGCTTAATCAATAAAAAATAAATTAATTTATGAGTGATTAAAATTATTCCGAGTAGATTTATTACACATCATTGAAAACGAACGAACACGTAAATTCGAAGTCTTTTCTAAAAGCAAATTTCTACAAATCAATAATTTTTATTATTGAACCAGTTTTCGTAGGACGTTAATGGTTAGTATGTGGGGAAATCAAGCAGGCTAGTGATTGTAGAAAAAACCATTGGACTTGTCATATTTTGATATCATAAATTTTATAGTCAATGAATTTTATATATTTTTAAACAAGTGGAGTTTATACTATCATATACATTACTACTCCCACATTGGTGCCCCGACGTGATTGAGATGAAGACAAAGAAGGAGTTTTTTTTTAAGGATTTAAAAAATATAGATTTTGATGCAGCACCATAATCATTGGTCTTCAGTGACTACTTATAAAGTACGTCCAGTCCTCGGTTCATCGTTGTTAACGCACTTACTATCTGATACCGGACTTTCGTTGGTATACCCATTTAGTATACCCAGACCTGAGTGTTTATTGCTGACACGAAAAATAATTCGGAACCTAGACTTTTCATTGGAATGCAATTCAACCTCTCCTTGTCTGTTAACTCAACAAATCGTCTTTTGATGCATTAAACTTTGGTACTGCATCTGTCAAGATGATGACTCTTTAATACGCTCTCCATCGAATCACATCCGGTTCGAGAGTCCGATATATGATACAAAGGGTCGACAGGTCGACTGAAGTCGACAAGATTATTTTAATCATTGTGAAAATTCATATTCTTACAGAGCGCCATCTGTTTACCCAAAATATTGTAGAAATAAAAATTAATACAGTAGATCGTGGCTGAAGTTCACTACATGACTTATATTCAGAACCGATACAACTCCTTCCTCAGAGTGAATCCGAGTATAGTTGTCTCACAGGATTTGTTATATCCGACTTCCCTAAACTGGTACTAAATCTGTTAACATGTGCAGATATTTGCTTGAGTTTTTTTACTAATACAAAGATTTGGGTCGAAAGAAGTGGTTTTTCTCTCGTCTCACAGG